GCCTTTAAGACCCCAGATGCTATATCTTTTGATAACCGGGCACCATCAGCTTTCTTCACCACATTTGCTTATGTACACATTTTGTCTTCAGAGATCCTGTTGGGAAGGTGAGCTTCATAGAATGCCAGGTTATTAGAACAAAGTATTCTTGTGTTGAGGGAGTATTTGAACAGAGCCCTAATGTCCATCTGCTACCTTAATACTAAACCTATAAATATATGTACATAGATCTATTTCCCCAATGTACATGCCTGTATTTAGACTTCTATAAATGTCCTTTGCCTCCTAGTTCTTTCCTCTATTTTATTTTACTTTCCTCTTGTCCCACTCTCATGTTCAGTTTGCACTTGGGTTTCAGTAATTCCTCTCGGTTACATTGCCCTTGATCAAGCCCTACCAGGCCTCATACACCCTCCTCACCATCAATTTGAGATCATTTGTTATTCCCTTGTCTTTGGGTTTGTTAACACCCACTTCCTTTCCCCTGCCTCCCCCTCTCCCAGTCCCTCAGGAACCGTTGGTCCTGTTGTTTTCTCCTCTGGATTGTTTATCTCACCTACCTTATCTAGATAGACATGCTGAGATAATAATATGCACAAAAACAAGACAGAGGAAAACAGAGCAACAAAAGAAAATACAACAACAACAGCAAAAACCAATGACCAAAACAAGAGAAAAGCCTATAAATAGCTCAGGGTCTGTTTGTTGACCTGTAGGAGTGTTTTCTGGTAGAGTCTGATGGGGTGCCATGTTCTGGCCCTACAGTCTATTTTTGGTATTCCCTAGGGACTTCATTGCTTTGCTCCCCTTGTTGTTCTGTTGCATGCCCTTAGCATTTTGCCTTGGTGTGGTGGGATCAGATCGGTCACAATTTTCCCACTGTGCCTCCAGTGTTGTCCCACGTAGCGCTATGGGTCAATAAGGGACATCGTGTCTCCTGATGGGGCTGGCCCTATGCTCCTCTTGGTGCATTGCCTGCTCTGAGCACGAAAATCATCTTCAGGGCTTGGTGGACCAGAAGGTACTCCACTGTCTCTCCCTCCCCCTTCCTTTGCTCCTATGTGCTCTGATCAGACATGTCCCTCTCTCTGAGCTGTAGCTTCAGTGCTGTCCTCTGAGCTGAATTCTTCTGGGGGGAGGGAGGGCTGTTCATGTAGTTGGGATTGGGGCTGGCCCCTCAGACATCTTTATTGGTTCCCTGCTTCATGCTGGTATGCTGCATTCACGTCTTTGGGTACTGGATTGAAGTTTGATCCCTCTTTCCCTGTGGAGATATAAACAATACCCTCCCCTTGGGTGGGTTAGTGCCCTGTTCCCCCGCTACCCATGTCTCCCCGCCCCCACTTTTTACTTGGCTACCATATGTATCTCTGGATTTGGTCTGGCCCCTGCCATACTACTTGGACTTCACCCCAGGAATGTATGTATACAGTAGCTTTTTCCCTGTGCCCCTTTTGCATTTTTAAGCTTACCTCAGTGGACTTATGAAGTGCTTTTTCTTTTGTGCTTGGTTTACTTTGCTTAGCATATTTTCCTCCAGTTCTTCCCATGAGGTGATGCGCTTCTTGTGTTCATCACTGCTTTTTAGGGATGCATAATACTCCACTGTATGTATGTATCACAGATTTTAAATCCATTCTTCTGTTGATGGAAATTTGGGTTGTTCAACCTCCTTGCAATTGTGAACTATGATGTGATGAACATTGTAGCACAGATGTCTGGCCATGGTTTGTTTCTTGCCTCTTCTGGGTATATACCCAGTAGGGGGATTGTTGGGTTGTATGGTAGCTCAATTTCCATTTGTTCTAGATATCGGCAAATCGATTTCCATAGTGCCTGTACATACCTACAGGCCCACTAGCAGTGGATGAGAGATCCTATCTCACCACAGCCCCTCCAACACTTGTTACTTTCTGATTTTTTGAATTGGGCTATGTTTGAGGGTGTTAGGTGGTATCTCATAGCTGTTTTAATTTGCATTTCTCTTATGACTAATGATGGGGAACATTTTCTCATATGTTTATTGGCCATTTAGATTTCTGCCCTTGTGGAACTTCTGTTCAGGTCCTTTGCCCACTTCCTCAGTGGGAAATTAGTTTTTAAAATTTTTTTAGTTTTGGAAGCTAGCAAAGTACTGTAGATTTTAGTAATAAGGCCTTGGTCTGATATGTCATTGCTAAAGATGTTTTCCCAGTCCATGGGCTCCCTTATTACTCTCTTGGTGAATTCTTTCAATGTAGACAGGTATTTAATCTTCAGTATATCCCACCTGCCAATTTGTGACTCATCTGTATTTGTGCCCTTCCCTATTTCTGATAGACTATATATTTCCTGTGCCAAAGTTCTCAGGTTGGTCCCAATTTCCTCATTGATGACCCTAATAGTTTGGGGTTTTATCTAAAAGTCTGTTATTCACCTTGAGTTTATTCTTATGCATGGAGTGAGATAAGAGTCTTACTTCATTTTTTCTGCAGGTAGATATCCATTTTTTCCCAGCACCCCTTGCTGAATAGGGCATCCGTTTCCCATTTGATATTTTTTTGGCCTATCAAAGATCGGTTGTCTGTATGCTGATGGTTTTATTTCTGGGTTTCCATTGGTCTGAGTATCTGTCATTGTACCAGTACCATGCAGTTTTGACCACTGTGGCTGTATAATATGTGCTAAAATCAGGTAAAGCAAGCCCTCCCACTGTGTCCTTCTTCTTGAGGTGTTCTCTGCTAATTCTGGGCTTCTTCTTTCTCCATACGTAGTTGGTAACCAGCTTTTCCAATTTTTTGAAGAAAGATGATGGTATTTGTTTCAGGATAGCATTAAAGTTATATAGTGCCTTTGGCAGAACTGACATCTTTACTCTATTGAGTCTTCCAATTCACGAGCATGGGATATTCTTCCATTTGTTGAGGTCACTCTTGGTTTCTTGTAATAGTGTTTGAGGTAGTTAGTTTATTGTGCCAACCTGGTCGATAAACACACGTGGGGTTAATTGCAGGGTGGAGGGATAAATGGCTCGGTGACCCTCACCTTTCTAGTTCTCAGGTCTCTTGCTATCTGACAGTCCAACCAGGGTGCAGCTGCCTTAGCCAGTTCCCTGAGTTAGCTGGCAAGGGTCACTTCCTGCAAGACATCCCTGAGGAGAAGCCGCATGGACCTACCCGATGCAGCCCTGGGTGCTGGAGCACCCGTGTGGAGACCCCTGCCAGTGCTGAGATGCTTACACATTCACTGATTCGGCTTT